GTCTCTAAGGAACGCGCTTCTCCGCCAGCAAAGTCAAGGGTCCCTCTAGTCCTCAGCCGAAGGGCCAACCTTTCCCAACCCGATGACGGCGTTCATCAGGCTTTTTAGTGGAGAAAATAAAAGCATTTCAGGAAAACACTCACGGAAGAGACCCGAAGTTCTGAGTCACCCTAGTCCCTCCCCGGGTGTCTTTATGTCCCCAAAGGCGCAGACCCCAGACTAGCTGGGCTTGGGGATGGAGGTGACGGCGGGAGCGCTGAGGGTTCAAGATGTTTTTCAGGCGCCCTCCCCTTCCTCCGGCCCTGCAGGTGCAGACAGTCCCAAAGCCCGCATAGAACGAAGGCTCGGAGCACGGAGACCCGCAGGGTGGCCCACGGCTCCGGCACCGAGGGAGGCAGTGGGATGAGGCGGGTGGGGGTGCTCGTGGAGTTGGGGGGCTCTGGGACACGGCCTCGAACGTGTTTTGCCTTAGGAGCTGCTGGGAGCTGGGCCTGGAAGAGGGAGAGAAGGAGTCAGGGAGAAAGGAAAGGAGAGAGAGAGACAAAGACAGATATACATTAAGGCAAAGAGATTTGAGAAACAAGAAAGGGAAGACAAAAGGACAAAAAGAGGACAATGGAGAGGAGGGAGACAAAGAACCCCAGAGAGACACAGAGGCCAAGAGTCAGAACTGGGGAGAGAAGGAGGAGGAGACGACAGAACAAGAAAAGGCTGAGGGCAATGAAAAGCAATAGAGGACGAACTACATCGGGAAACATCACAAAACTGTAAAGAAGAGGAGAAAGATACAGTACAACAGAGACCCAGAGTAACACACAGAGGAGAAAACAGGCAATAGTGTAGAGAAAGAAACGGAGAGGCCAGAAAGTAAGTTTTTAGAAGACTGAAAGCAAGAACGATAAAAGAGGGGGAAAAATCCAAGAACAAGAGGAAACGTTCACGGGTTTTTTTTTTGTTAGTCACGGTTGGAAGGGGTCAGCCGCTCCCAATCTCGCAATTCTGAAACTTCCAACTCTTGAGCCACGGTGGGGCTGGGTGGAGCCGGCCACGCCGCTACCACACCAGGGCTTGGAGTTCTGAGTTCCGGGCGCCCCGCCCACTCCATCCCAGGGACGCCGCGGGGGCTGCGGTGACGTCACACGACGTCATGCTCCACCTGGGGTCCCACGCAAACCCGACAAGGAGCGGGGTCCCCGGGGTTGTGCGCTGCATTTGCTCCCCAGGCCTTTGGGGACCGAGGATTTGCACCGGTTCTGCGCGCAAAGCCTGCCCACAGAGCGCCCAGAGCCGTCAGAGCCAGGTCCTCTCTGAGGCTCCGCAGGAAAAAGAGGGCGGAAAGCGGGTTGCGGGGTGAAGGAGGGCTCTGAGTTCCGGCTTGAGTGCCAAGAAGTTCGAGGCCACTCTGCCTCCCGCCCCCCAGGTTGATTTGACCTGGGGACGGCCTATGCATCTGCCCAGGCCCGGCGTTTTACTCACCAGCCGGCCCCGGCATTGGCCCGCGGCGCTCGGGCCTGGGGCACCTTTCCCACGTCCAGTTCCCATCCTGCGCGCACCCAGGCTGAGGGCGGCCGGCACCAACTGACCTGCACCGCGCATCCTCCGCGGGGCCCCGGGCGGGGGTTGCAGCCGAGGCGAATGCAGACGAATCTTCAGAAGTGGACGCTTGCTGCGCACCTCCGCGCTCGGCTTCTACCGCCGCGGGGTGGGGCGCAGGGCCAGGGGTCGCCGAGTATTATTGGAACGAAAACGAAATAAAAGCGGCGTTAAGTGAAATAGCTAACTTTTTTATTAAATAAAACGACTTAAATAAAAGGAACAGAAAAGAAGAAGAGTGGACCCAGCCTAAACGCAGGGTGCCCCGGGCCCCTGACACTTCCCCCAGCGGCCGGGTCGGCTGCCCCTCCTCCAGCGGCCCCCGCGGGGGAAGCAGGTGGCCGGTTTCTAAAGAAAAAAAAGCCAAAACATTTTATTATTTACACGTTTGGGCAAAAGTACAAAGTATAATACAGGCGCCCGGCCCGGGGGGTGCGGGCGAGGGGCGGAGAAACGTAAGGCGCTTTCTTGTCAGGCCCGGGCCTGGGGCGGGACGGGGCGCGGGGCGGGGGCTCGGATTGTGCGGCCGCGCGGAGCCCGGGCCCGACCCCCTTCCGCGGCCGGCCAGTCTGTGGCCGCGCCCTGGGGCCTACTCGGGCTTGGCGGCCCCTTCCCCTCTCGGCCCCGGTTCCCCCGCAGCCCGGCTGGGGGGTCCGGGGCTCCCGTCTGGGTGGGGGCGGCGATCCGTGGCGACGGTGCGCGCTGGTGGGCTCACACCAGGGAGGTGACGGCGGGAACCTTGGAACTATCTTCCTCCCAGGGCTGCAGATTCTGCAGAGCAAAGAGTGACGAGTTGTGCAGACAGAGCGGGTCGGGCTGGATGGAGTCGTTGAGGCTCTTTTGGAAGGCGTCGTGTTGCAGCTGCAGCATGAGCCGGCTCGCCTGCTGCCGCTCCGCCTCCCGCTCCTCCGCCGTCTGCCGCCTGCACCGGGGGAGGGAGAGGGACAGCACCGTCATGCACCCGGCACCGCGGGGCCGCCGGCGGGGCCCTGGCCCTCCCGGGAGCCGAGGCCATCCGGGAGCCTCGAGGCGCAGAAACCGTCTGCCTCCCAGCCCGCGCTTTACGCCCGAGGCCCTCATATCCAGGGAGCAGGTTGGGATCATTTGTTTTTGTTGTGTGCCAGAGGGTCTCCAGGAGGGGACTCTGCCCGCCGCCCACCTGCACGCCCGGGTACTGTGGCTTCACCAACAATAAACACTGTGCCTTTCGCCGAATAGCAAGGGCAGGGCCTATGTGTAACTGACTTGGCCCTGCGGGAACCGGGGTCGCTGGGGTCCGCGGGTGGGCAGTCTGGCTCTGCACCACCCGCACGACTCCCGGGGGCTAGGTCAGTCTCATCCAGTTCGCCTAGAGCCTGTCTTGAACCCCTTTCCAGACGCGATCGCTTCGCCGTTTACGGGTTGAATCAAAACAGAGATCGGATAAAAACGCGGCTGGAGTGGAGACGCGGAGATGGGGTGGTGAGGGGGAGGAAAACGGCGTCCACGAGGATTGTTGAAAATCCGAGAGGGCGGGCTGGAAGAAGGAGGAGAAGGAAAGTGCGAGAGGCCCGTGTGTGTGTGTGTGTGTGTGTGTGTGTGTGTGTGTGTGTGCTTGTGTGTTTGGGGCGGGGGGTGAGAGGAAATCAAGTGAGCGCAGGAGACCGTACAAAACACGGGGAGAGAGTTGGAAGGGCTCACGAAAGATGGGGATGGGGATGGAGGAGAAACCGAGGAGTGGGAGACCACGATGGAGAGAGAAGCACAGGCCAGCGAGAAGGGTGAAAGGAAGAGGTACAATCTGCGAAGGCGGGTGGGGGTGTGTTGGGGAGAGGATGGCAGGGGGCGGGGGTAGTGGATAGCCTTAAAATGGGGCGAGTCGAGGCTGCGGCTCGGGGCGGGGCAGGTGAAGGGCAGGAGTAAGGTGGGCCAGGTCAGGCCTCTCTCACCGCCACTTGGTCCTCCGGTTTTGGAACCAGGTCTTGACCTGCGCGTCCGTCATTTTGAGGGACTTGGCGAGCGCCGCCCTCTCGGCAGAGGCCAGGTACTTCTGGCGATGGAAGCGCTTTTCCAGCTCGCAGATCTGCACCCGGGAAAAGGACGTGCGCGGCTTCTTACGCTTGGGCGGCGTCCGGTTCTGGTAGGGGTGGCCGATGCGCCGGGTCACGGTGAAGGGCGTGAGTGCGGCCGCCGCTGCGGAGACACACGAGAGCCCCTGAAGCCCAGCCCGGCTCGGCCACCGTTCAGGCCCCATGCGGACCCCGTGGCGCCCCGTGGGACACGGAGAGCTCAGCTATTTCGCTGGTCGCGCGCATTTCCAGCGACACCAAGCCGGTGGGGAGACGCCCTCGCCCCCTGTCCCTTCCCCCAGGCACGGGCTTATTTTCCTGCAACTCTCCGATTACCCTCCCCACTACGGCTGCCCGGGGCACTGGGGCCGAGGCCTCAGCCGCGCTTGGGCCTCTGGAATGGTTTCCGGGAGTGGAGCGCACAGGGCGCGGCGCCTCTGGCCCCGAGAGGGCGGAGGCCTGGAGCCTGGTGGCCAGCTCTGCTCACCTGTGAAGCGGTCTTTAACGAAGCGGCGGCTGCTCTCCATCCAGGGGAAATTGAGGCCGCCCAAGCTGGAGACCGTGGGCACAGAGGGCATGGCGGGTAGCGCGCTTGGCAGAGGCGGTGGCACGGCCCCGGGCAGCGGCCTGTGCGCCGGCACCCGGATCACGCCGGCGGGCGCTAGGCTCAGGTTGACACTGTAAGATCCCGCGTCCTCGAAGGGCGCGCCGAGGCCCGCAAAGGAGGCGGGCAGAGACGGGTATGTGGCGCCCGGACGGCCCCCCGGGGGCCCTCCCAGGTAGCTGGCGCCGTCGGGGCCCCGCGGGGCGGGTGCGCTGTCCTGGTCCGGGCTGTTAAGGATCTGGTCGATGCCGAAGCTGATGGGCTCGTGCGGGTGCGGGGTCTGCGCGCTGGCGGGCGCCTCCATCCTGGGCGGGCGGAAGGGCTGGGCTGGGCTGGGCGGGGAGGCGGCTGGGTCCCGGTTACGGCGCGGCCATGGAGCGCCCGGCGCCTCTCGTCGCACTGAAACTTTGCCAAGAGTGCGCGGGCCCGACAGGCTCTGTGTCATCTTTCTTGAACCGAACCTGGAGTTTCCGCTGCTAATTCCTCTCCCGCCGCAGCCATTGGCTGCGATCAACAAGCCTCTCTCCTCTCATTGGCTCCCGGCTTTCAATAAAGGCCTAATTCATGGAAATAGGAGCTTAGGGACTGTTCCAAGGTGACATCATTTTAACAAACGAACAATAGGTCAAATTTATTAGCCGGGATAATGGGCGGCGGATATTAGCGCCCGAACCGCACGCAGCCTCCCAAACCCGAAATCTAACGAAGCTGCAATTAGCAGACGCTCCCCGCTCCTCCCGGCCGGGCCGCTTCCCAGACACTGCGCTGGGCGGGTAGAGCGCTCCGCTTGTGAAATTGTCTTTTGCTGAGCGGGTTTTCGTTTTCTTCCAATTTTTTTTTTCGTCTGAGCAAAAGCCAAACCAAATGCATCCTTTCAGTTACAATGGAGTTGCAACCCCGGGAGGACCCGGCGGGATCCGCAGAAGCCCCTTGGACACTACAGCCGCTGGAGGAACGAAAGGGGCGCACTCTCGGGGGCAGGCTTCGCGCTGCCTGCGCGCGGGGCGAGGGGAGCACCGTAGCGTTCTCCGCGCTCCGGAGGACGCCGACCCGCGTGGGGAGAATTCGCCCCCGCCCGGGTTTCGGCCGCGGCGTCGCGGCCACTTTGGAGACACTCCCTGGCTCCGGCCAGGCGGACCGAGGCGTGACTCGCAGGTGCCCACGCGTGCCAGCTGCGGCTGGGCTAGGGACGCAGGGTCGCCCAGTGGGGAGTGGGGACCTGACTCTCGAAATTCGTTGCAGAATGGAGGGGGCTGTGGTCGCGCATGGGAACCCGCTCGCGGCTCAGCGGGTCTAGGGACTTCGGGTTACCGAATGTCAAAGGCGCGGGCAGCTCATAGTTAGAGCAAATCGCAGGATTTTTTTTGGAAACGCGAGTGGTGAGCCCCTTCCGGCTCCAGTCCAGTCTGGGCACTGGAACCACTCCCCGTTCTGCCCGCGCCTCAGTGACTGTCTATTCGGGCCCAGGGCACCGTGGACAGGACCGCACACGAAGTAGTCACCTTCCGCTGCAGCTTTGGGGAGACAAGCGGAATCATTTTCTTCCACCTAATTCTAAAATCGTTAGATTTAAACTCTTTGAGTGTCGCACCCCTGGCCTGGGCTCTTCCTCCTGCCCCTTGTGGTGCGGACAGTGGTGAGAGCTCGGATGTACTGTTGGCCAGAAGTGTGTTCAAATTTGGACTGGCCACTTCCTAGCTGAGTGACCTTGAGTAAGTGACTCCATATATTTAGGTTTCGGTTTTCTCGTTTGCAAAAAGGGAAATAATGCGTGCATGCAGGTTGTTTGTGAGCCGCGAGTGAGATATTGAGGGAGCGCAGAGCACTGGGCCTGGCACGTAGTGGGCACTGGGAAGCGTGGCTCACCTCGCACTGCATCCCCCCAGAGTAATGGCTGATATATTATTGTTGTGACTCTTGTTTATTTTGTTGGCAGTTTTATTTTATTTGCAGGGGCTCAGTACGTTGGAGAGAAAGGTGTTTGTCTACCAGTAGGGTCAGTTTCAGAGGACGGGGAAGGACAGGAGGTGCAGGTTGGGGATTCTTTCTATCTTCTCCCAACAATCCAAAGGCGTCAGGATTTGCAGGGCCTCCAGGCCTGGGTCTGGAGTTAGGTCACTTGCCCGCTGTGTGACCTTGGGCAAGTTACTGGCCCTTGCTGAGCCTTCCTGGTGGGTGTGGAGAGGGAGGCCCAACAGTGAGGGGTGAAAGCTGCAGGATGCCTGGGGTCTGGGCAAGTGCTCCCTCACTCGCTTCCAGCGACAAGGATCCTCAGATGGGGTAGATGCCATTGCTCTGGCCCCAGGGGGCTTCCTGCTTCTAATTCAGGCTCTGCCACTGGCAGGGTGGGGGCTGTGGGGTCCCTAACTGCCCCTCCCAGAACCGCATTTTCCTTATTTGTAAAACAAAAAGGGCACCAGCTACCCCCAGGGTGGCTGTGAGAACCAAATGAGATAGCATCTGTGGAAGTGCCTGTGAGAAACTCTGGCGGTTATATTATAATAACTTTAATGACAACTATAAAGCTACTGTAGCTGAGAACCTAGCCTGTGCCAGGCAGGGAGGTGGACACTTATTTATTCTTCACAATGACCCTGTGAGGAAAGGGCTGTTAGTGGCCCCAATTTCTCACTAATGAGGGAATTGAGGCTTTGAGAGTTCAAGGGAAGCACAGCTCCCCACTTGCGGGCTGGAGTTGGCACCTCACCAGCTCCTCTTCCCTTCTGGCTTCCAGTGTCCCGGACTCAGGGCTGCCCTTGTCACTTCAGACACTGTTAAATCGGGACAACAAGGCCCACCGCACAGAGGTTTGTGGCACGGAACTAAGGTGTTGGTGGTACAGCACTGCTCCCAGGGTGTGTGCTTAAGAATGGGATTCTCACCTCCGTTTACCAGCTGTGGACTCTGAATTATTCATCTTCTTTGTGCCTCAGTTTTCTCATCTAGTAAATAAACCTCATGATTCAATAAGCTCCTCCAGGTAAAACCTGGCATGGGTCAGGGCTCTGCTTCATTGCTTGGGTTCTGGCTTCCTGAGATCCACGGTTCCTCATGGTCCAGCCCTGTCATCCAGATGAAGGTGCTTTGGGCCACTAATCATAAGCCTCCTTTCACTTCCTATCCAGATAGCTCTTAGGCAGCTCAGGAATGGGGGTAACTTGGGTCAGGCATGAGAACTCTGAGAATCCTAGGACAGTGGTTCTCAGAGTGTGTTCCCAGAGCAGCAGCATCAGCATCACTGGAGAATTTGTTAGAAATGCAAATTCCTGGACCCTCGCCAGACCTACGGAATCAGAACTCTGGGGTAGGACTCGGCAGTCTGTGTTTAACAAGCCCTCCAGGCGACACTGATGCCTGCTCAACTCTGGAAGCCAATGCCCAGAATGCTGTCCATTTCATCCGAGTTTTCAAATGTGTTGTTACAACACTGTGGGAAGATTGTCTCAGAATTTGCAACTCTCATACGAATCTGTACTAATACCTTCCACTTCTCATTCCCAGTGTTGCTCATTCATGTCTTCTCCTGATCATACTTGCCAAAGGTTTGTTATTTTGTTGGTTTTTAAAAAAGCCTTTGATGTCTTATCCCCTTTTAAAATGCCACCTCTTTCATGAATGTTGTGGTTTCAAAAATTATTTATTTCTTCTTTGCTGAGTTGAAAATTTGTCAAATTTTCTTTCTTTTTAAATAAATGCATTCGAGGGCATACATTTTCCTCTGAGCACTGTTTTGGCCAGATATGTTCTGATATGTATTTGGTGTTCCTGAGGTTGTAATTTCTTGCTGCCCTTGTAATTTACCTGCTGTCACTTGAACAGTGAGGCACACACACTGAAAGAGATTAGGAAATGAGAATTGTAAGAACCGGGACCAGGATTCCTGGAGCTAGAGAGACCTTCAGGACGCAGCACATCCTCTCCTCTTCTCCATGAAGAAGCTGGGAGAAAGGGGTGCAGCTGGTGGAGGCTTTGCTGAGAGTCATCTAGAAGATGGTGGGGCTTCAGGGGTGACAGAAAAGATGCTGGGATTTCCAACTGGCCCAGGAACCCAGCTGTGGGAGGCTCCTCCAGGCTCATTCTGCCATTGACTTCCTGAGTGAAATGGGACTGCATTTCCCCATCTGTGAAATGGGGGTAGAGACTGAATCAGGACTTGAAAAGTATTTGGGTCAGCTACCCTATTTGAAACACCGATGAAAATATTGTGGTCTGCTTCCGTAGAAAAGGACAGAAACACAATTTGGCACATACACCATGTCACAGGTGGCTGACCTGCCGTGCTGTTCTTAGCTCACACACCCTAGTTAGGAGTCCCTATGGGCCCTTCCAGTTTTCCTGATGGAAGGCTCTAAAGACACTTGCCCAAATTTATTCGCCCATTCATTTATTTATTCAGCGAATATTTACTGAGCACCTACTCACATTTCCTGGACCATACCCCAGTGCAGGGGCTTGGTTTCCCCATCTCACAGTGGGGACAAAGCAGTCTGGGCTCTTCATCACTGCTTCCCCCAGTGGGCAGGATGTGGGGAAGAACCTTCCTGAGGAGGTCTGATCAGTCTCAAGAGTCTGCCAGCCAGTGGAAGGAAAAGGGCACGTAGTGGAAAGGGGTGAGCTGGGATTTGAACCCAGGACTTTTAGACTACAAAGCCCACACTTTCTCCTTTACCTTACACCCCTATTTGGGAGTAGGTGGTAAAGACTGTAAGTCACGGGATGGAGTGGGGAGGGGAATCAGTGCAGGGTCTGGGTTGAGCCCAAGAGTGGCGGTGAAGACTGGCCATAGTGGGGCCCACTCTTCTCCCCTACTGGCTTGAGAGTTCCTTTCAGGCAAAATGGTGTTGGTGGCATTTGATTCCATGTCCCAGGGCTGGGTCCAGGGTGTGGAGGACTGGAGGACATGATCAAGGTTTGTAGTATTAAACTCAATAGCACAAAGCAAGGTCAGACAAGGGGTAAGAAAAAGGGGTCAGAATTGGGCGCAGGCATTTGCGTGCACTCAGTTCGGCATTCACCCCCCAGCACCCCCATGGCTGGTTCCTCGCATCCTTTACGACCCAGGCCAGCCCTCACCTCTCTGCCCATCCTCCAGAGCAGCACCCTCACCTCATCATCCTCTCTACCCGTTGATTTCCGTCATTCCCCTCAGAACTGATCTTATTTATCCGGCTCATTAGCTTTATCTGCGGCAGGTGATGTGAAAGAATGATTTCCAAGGTGCTTGGGCTGGGCCAGACCCAGGCCCTGGCAGGGAGGCTGGCAGCAGCCTGAGGAAGCTGGCCCTAGGGCCAGGGGTTAGAGGAGAGGGGAGCAGGGAGAGATTCCTTTCTCCATGGGGTGGGGGACTGATGGAGATAATAAAGGGCACGTGAGCAGGGACTGTGCAGATGGCAGCGTGTGCAGGGTGGCAGGAATCGGTCAGTGTGCTCAGGCTCAGGGGAGTAAGGACAGGCAGGGTGGGCAAATGCAGGGGGTGGCCTTCTCAGGGACCTCCCAACCTGATCTCATGCCCTTGTTTCCTTCCCCTACACATCCGCCATTTTTCCCATTTGTGCTCCACAACTTTCCTCCCTTCCTGACAGATTTCTCTACTCAATTTGACTTCGTTTCAACACTTTCGTTGGGCAAATTACATTAAGATGAATGTTGCAGGTACCCTTTATGGTTTATTTATCGTGATACTGTTTGTATCTCACACTTATAAATAACTTATGTTATAGCTTTTGTTTGTGGAAATGTAACTTACATATTTTATTACGCTTTCTGTAAACCTCAAAAAGAATCTTGTCAAGGAAGCACTCTTATCAGCAATCCAAACTATGGGACGTAAAAACCGACACTAACATTATTTTTTAATATGCCAAGGAGGCAGGTTACTCTTGCTGTAGTTTGAAAGGTTTGCTGTCATTGTAAACTTGCACCTCAATAAAACATTTAAAAGTCTCAAGAATGATTTTAGGAAGTTCAGGGAGGAGGATGAATCGGTGGCAGGACCCACAGACACAGCACACAACGGGCCCAGGTCCTGGACTGGCCTTTCGCTGGGAGTGCCTAGTCCCATTGTGGGTGTCAAAGTGGTTCACATTGAGTTCTCCCACCCAACTGTCCCCTAGGCCCAGCTGTGAAGGACCTAGTTCAAGGAATTATAGTGAAAAAGAAACACGAGTTTTGAGGTCAGGCAGATCTGACTTTGAATTATGGCGTGTCTACTTTCTAGCTATGTGGCTTTGGGTCAGTCTTTTAGTCTCAGTTTTCTCATCTCTAAAATGGGGATAATAATTCTTGACATTCTTACTAGGAAGCGTAAAATGAGACAGCAGTTTGCAATGCTTATTTGGTGCTCAATAAATGATAGCAGTTCTGATTATTTTATGTTCATCTTAAAACATTTAAGACCAGGAGTGGTGGCTCACATCTGGAATCCCAGCACTTAGGGAGGCTGTGGCAGGTGGATCGCTTGAGCCCAGAAGTTCAAGACCAGCCTAGCCAACATGGCAAAACCCTGTCTTTACAAAAAATACAAAAATTCGCCGGGTGCAGTGACATGGGCCTGTAGTCTCAGCTACTCAGGAGGCAGAGGTGGGAGGATTGTTTGAGCCCAGGAGGTTGAGGCTGCAGTGAGCTGTGAGCGTGCCGCTGCATTCCATCCTGGGCAAGAGTGAGATCCTGTCTTAAAAAAAAAAAAGAAAAAAAAAGAAACATTTACTTCCTCCCTTTTTACTCTACCCTGCTTTTCTCTTCAGGCACTCCTTTCCCTCCTCATCATAAGGGGCTGAGTTCTCTCAAATGTTACTTCCCCAAAACTGCTGAACATCTAGATCAAGTTTCCCATATGCTGGATCTTTCAGTTTCTTCAATTTTTCTCACCAAACCCACTCTGTTTTCGGTTCTCATGTCCAGCTGTTGGTACTTAGCTAATCTGGTCACTAATCTCAGCTAACAGCTACATGGCAAGCCACTTCTGCATTTTGAAAGGGGCCCTCACTACCGTAATCCGTAGGTACTTCTAGGATGTCAGGGCCAATAGAAGGGAGTCCAGAAGGCCAGGGGGGCTTTTCTGGGCAGTTCAGATAATCACACACAGTGCAGGGACTCTACACTCCTTTGTCCCCCATCCTAGAGAAGCCTGATTGGAAAACACAGAGTAACAGAAACATCCGGAATACAGGCAGACTACATCTTTCTCAGGGGCCAGGTTCTGAAGTCAGTGTGGAAGGCAAAAATTGAGCAAAGTAAAAATCCCTTCAAACTGTTTCTTGCTTGAGCATCCCTGAAGCAGCTGGCTGGACTTAGCACCCACATTGCAGGAACAGTCTATCTGTCTGTACACTAGAATCCCATCAGAAGGGTGGATGCGCAAACAGCAGCCACACCTCCCACCGCATCCTCTCTGAGCACGTGTGTGAAGTGGTAGGCCCTTTGGAACTGCCAGCACTCATTTTTCCTATTGTTCAATCTGAGTAAGTTGAATCTGATTAGACCCAGCAGCTCCATTAGTTGTCTTTCACACGGCCTCCACAGGTTTGTGTCTGTGCATGCTTTTTTTTTTTTTTTTTTTTTGAGACGGAGTCTCGCTCTGTCACCCAAGGGCTGGAGTGGCAGTGGCCGGATCTCAGCCTCCTGCAAGCTCCGCCTCCCGGGTTCAGCCATTCCTCTGGCCTCAGCCCTCCCGAGTAGCTGGGACTACAGGCCGCCCGCCACCCCTCGCCTCGCGCTAGTTTCTTTGTATTCGTAGTAGAGACGGGTTTCACTGTTCAGCCAGATGAGTCCTCGATCATCCTGACCTCGTGATCCACCCCTCTCGGCGCTCCCAAAGTGCTGGATTAACAGGCTTGAGGCCACCGGCCCCGCCTGTGCCATGCCTTTATCCCTTGGACAGGATTCCCCTAAGGCCCACTCCCCACGTGGAACTCCAGGTCTCTTCTCAAGAGTCCTCCCTCCCTCACCAAGGCAGACTGTGGCAGTCTTGGAGGCAGAGTCCCAAATCCGGTTCTCATCCACTGTGGGATGAGTTGTGTAGTACGTGTGAGTGGATCCTTAAACCATCCAGCTCCCCCACTTCCTTTTCCTCCCTCAGTAAGGGCTCAGAATGGAACCTGGCCCTCTAAAGGAAAAGGAGGTTCCTTCCCAGTTTAGAAAGAAATTTACAGCTAAACTCAGACTTTTCTAGCAACAGCCAGACAAGAGTTTTGGCAGACAGCTTTGAAAATGCTCAATGGCCGGCGCGGTGGCTCACGCTGGTAATCCCACACTTTGGAGGCTGGAGCAGGCGATCACGAGGTCAGGAGATCGAACCATCCTGCTAACACGTGAAATCCGTCTCTACTAAAAATACAAAAAATTAGCCAGGCGTGGTGGTGGGCGCCTGTAGTCCCAGCTACTCGGGAGGCTGACGCAGGAGAATGGCGTGAACCCGGGAGGCAGAGCTTGCAGTAAGCGGAGATCGTGCCACTGCACTCCAGCCTGGGTGACAGAGCGAGACTCTGTCTCAAAAAAAAAATAAAAATAAAAATAAAAATAAAAAAGGAAAATGGCTCCCAATGATCCCTACCTTGTGATTTACTTCTAATGAACAGAATACAGCAAAAGTGATGGGATGGCCCTTCTGAGATTAGGTTATAAAAGACGGTGACTTCCAGATTGCTGCAATCTCTCTGGCTCTTCTCTGATGAAACAAGGTTCCATGCTGTGAGCTGCCCTGTGAAGAGACCCATTTGGCAAGAAACTGAGGCAACAACCCGTGAGAAACTGACTCCTGCTAACCATCGCGAGTGCAGAGCCTTACCCAGTCAAGCCCTGAGATGATCACAGCCTGTGAGAGAGCGAGCCTGAAACCCAGCTGCAAATTCCGGACCTACAGGAACCGTCAGTTAATAAATGTGGCTTCGAGGCACGAAGTTTTGGAGTAATGTGTTATGTAACAATAGAGTTCTGAGAAACAGATGATAATGGACCTAAATATTAACTGGTTTCAACTCACCATTCTGAAATACAGGTCTTCCTTGCAAGGGGCCAGGAATTCCTTTGAGGTGAGACAGATCTGGGTTCAAATCTTGCCTGTGTGACCCATGTAAGCTATAGACACCATCTTTTAACCTCGGTTTCCTTATCTGCAAAGTGGAGCTAATACTGTCTAAACTTTGGAGGGCTCTTGTGAGGACTAGAAGAGATCATGTATGTAAAGGGCACGATACATGTTCAATAACTGTCTGCTGAGTCTTCTCCAGCTGACACATGCTGCCTGCAGTGTGCTCTGTGAGGCCAGCTCTACTAGCAGGTCCTGTAGACGTCAGCAGTGGGGTAGGCCTGACCTGTCCTCTGAGAACAGCTCTCCAAGGCCAAGTCTGATGGAGCCATTCTTGTCTGCTGTGAAATCACCAGGTGACCTCTGGCAGTGTGGCAAGGAGAAGTGAGTGCCCATGGTCATTTTCTGGTGAATATTTTAATGCAAACAATATGGTGCTTTTAGATACTAGACATCTGTAAAGAATCCCAGAATGGGACAAACCTTTCTTAACACATTTCTGTGTGGTGAGTGTGCACTTATACGCCTTTAAGAAACAGAAATTCATGTCAAACTTCTCTGAACAGCTGATGTTTTACAGAATTCAGAATTCACCTTCTCAAGGAAAATTATAAATCCCATTTCTAATGAAACATAGTGTAAGGCCAAAGCTTATTTATCCATCGAATACTAGAAGTAACCCCATATGTAACGTATTTTCCCCTCATTTCCTTCATACACAGAAGACAAACATTTTGAGATAAATTTGAGTGACTCTGCTTTTATATGACAAGCCTATTGCAAAACTCAACTATCCAGAAAGGTTTCAAGAAACACTAGTCTGAGAAATGAGATTATAACAGGAGCCTGTGGATTTACTTCTTGTTCAACAGTAAGGCCAACCTTTCATGTCTTATCAGAAATAAAGGACACAATATTTATTGTAAGCCAGAATCATAAAAACAGCAGTGAGACAGTAAAACACTTGACAGTGGGCAATCTCAAATTAATAGCCTAGTAACAGTGTAGCACAAACTGTGAAGGTCGTCTTCATGTTCTGGGTTTGGGTTAAGTCGCAATCCCAAGTCCCAACAGTAATAAGAGTTTTTGTGGAGAGTTGGAAACCAGCTGTTTCTCATCCTCTGAAAATCTGAATTTTAGCACCTAGAACTGTTTTGGGTAGCCCTAAGAAGGCAGAGCTGCTTCAGATATTATATTCTAATAGTTACCTTCACCTTCTCTTAAAAATTAAATGGAGGCAGAGGACTGGATGCTGGCACCACCCAGAACTCCTGACTGGGGCTACATGATTCCTCCTGAAGAAATATCTCTGCAGGCAGTAATTGCACAGCTTAATTCTTCTAGACTGAACCACTTCAGATTTATGCCAGTGAAAAGCAAACATTGTTTGTAAGTCATTTAATTGTGTTACTGTCTCTCAACTTTATCAGATGCAGCTGAGGCAGGGAGGCCTGCGTGTGGTCCTGTGGGATGCTCTGTAGTGCTTCCAGGCTCGTTCTAAATGCTCACAGCCCAAAGTCCCTAACGCTGCTTCTTCCAGACACATAACAAACTACTCATTTAACAGGTTCCAGTGGCATTCATCTCAATCCAGAGTCCATGGTGAAGGCTGCATCTCCAACAAATTGACAACCTTGATTGCAGAACCATAAACTAGTACACACATAGGTGCAAACCTGGTTTATTCTGTTCTTTGGTTAAATATTGTTTCTATATCCTTTCAGAGCATTAGGAGAACAAAGATAATATTTGATAGAAAGACTGAAAACACATCCTTTGCTTTTCAGAGAAAAGACTGAATTTACACCGTGTACTATTAGAAATTCTTATAATTAGGTTAGACATAGAAGAAGGTAGGGCTTTTGTTGTTGCTTGTATATTTTGAAAAATACATTCCCCTGGGCTAGCCAACATCACTGTCCTGAGACCCAGACCTTCAGGACTCTCTTGACAAAGGCTGCTCCACACATGGTCAGAAAAATCGGGTCAGCTCATCATGTCGAGACTGCATGGTTCAGTGTTGCCATCACTGCGCAGAGCCTCTGCCACATCTCTTCTGAATACAGACAGATTTTGGGTGAACCTGCAGAAAGAGGAAGAAAGGGTCAAGGGTAGTAATGAGGCCAAGCCTCCATGAATTTCTGGACGATAAGGCCACTTTGGAGTTCAGGACTTTGGGGAGGCCCCTCTTGGAGGAAGGCTCTAGATTTCAGCTGAGCTCCTTTCTCTCCAGTTTTCATCGCCACTGCTGCTCTGCCACCAGTACTGCCAACTCCTCATGCCTTCCTGGAAAACAGGGTTGCCACTAAATTCACTCTGACCATCTTGAGGTGTACATTTTGTGGTTCTACTTTTAAAAAACCATTTTAGAAAAGTTAAATTACACATAGATGGTAAGGATTATTAAAAAAAGAACAAAAGTTTATGTGCCAGGCATTGGATTGAGTTTACTGATAAGCTCATTTAATCATCACAAGTCTTCCCTGAGGTAGGTATGAGTATCCTTATTTTACAGGTGAGAAAACTGAATTTAGTAGCTGAAAAAGAGGGGGCATGGGGTTAGACTACCTGGGTTCAAATCCTAGCTCTACACTTACAAGTCATGATACTGGATGAATACTTAACCTCTTGTCTTGGTACCTAATATGAGTAGTTACTCAAGGGATTGTAGAAAGTGAGAATTTAGGCCAGTTGCAGTGGCTCATGCCTGTAATTCCAGCACTTTTGGAGGCCAAGGCAGGTGGATCACCTGAGGTCAGGAGTTTGACACCAGCCTGGCCAACATGGTGAAACTACGTCTCTACTAAAAATATAAAAAATTAGCCAGGTGTGGTGGCGGGCGCCTGTAAACCCAGCTACTTGGGAGGCTGAGGTGGAAGAATCACTTGAACCTGGGAGGTGGAGGCTGCAGTGAGCCAAGATTGTGCCACTGCACTCCAGCCTGGGAAACAGAGCGAGAATCTGTCTCAAAAAAAAAAAAAAAAAAAAAGAATTTATTGGGTCAGTTTGAGGCAATGCCTGTATGCCTGTAAGTACTCAACACCGTGCCTGGTACATGGACAACAGTCAGTCTTCGCTGCCTATTACTCTCATTAAACTAGGAGGACCACCTGCCATCATTTCACAGAGCAGCTCAGGAGGCAGTACTCAAATTTCCAAGCCTTAGGTGAAGTAATTTCCACCGAGACACCTAGGGCTTCCCCATTCAAGTCTCATCGGCTGGCTTCTGAGGTTGTCCCTTTCCGTGTGATAGAGGATCTTGAAGCGAACAGTCAAGGGAATATGTCTGCAGACCCCAACTGACTTGGTCATGTATTACCAAAGCCCAGGCTGGTAACTCCAGAATACACTGATGATTTGCATTTCAAATGGAGCAGCATTTGAATGCTACTGCATTTATAAAAGGATGGTGCAGATCTTTTTTTTTTTTCTCCTGAACACATGTTCTTTCTCCATCATTCATTACTGTCTGTCTTTTCTACTAGAATGTAAGATCCATGAGGGGGAGGAACCTTAAATAACTGGTTTACCACTGGTAACCCCAGTGCCTACACAGTAGATTCTGAATAAAGTTTTATGAACTAAATGAATGAATGAATAAAGTCAGACCTAGCTGATAAGTTCAGGCTCCTTTCATTTAGATCTCATTGGCAACTGAGATACCAGCCATTCTTAAATGACAGGCAGAGGGGGAAACTAATACTGTAGGTCATAGGCCCCAGATGCCATGCTTCACTGCGTTCTGTCATTTAAACATCACAACTGATTATTACCATCTCCATTTCACTGGTAAAGAAACTGAGGAGTAGAGAAGTTAACTGTCTACTGCCACACAACCTACAAAGGCCAGATATAAAATATCATCTTAAAAAAATTTTAATTTAAATTTATTATTTTTGAGACAGAGTCTCACCCTGTTGCCCAGGCTGGAGTGCAGTGGTGTGATCTCGGCTCACTGCAACTTCTGCCTTCCAGGTTCAAGCGATTTTCCTAGCTCAGCCTCCTGAGTAGCTGGGACTATAGGCACCCGCCACCATGCCCAGCTAATTTTTGTATATTTAGTAGAGACAGGGTTTCACCATGTTGGCCAGGCTGGTCTCAAACTCCTGACCTCAGGTGATCTGCCCTCCTCGGCTTCCCAAAGTGCTGGGATTACAGGCGTGAGCCACCGTGCCCAGCCAATTTGTTTTTTAATTGATATATAATATTTTTACATCATTATGGGGTACATACAATATTTTGTTACATGCACACAATGTGTAATGATCAAGTCAGAGGATTTAGGGTATCCATCACCTAGAGTATTTATCATTTCTATATGTTGGGGACATTTCAAGTTCTCTCTTTTAGCTATTTTGAAATATACAATACATTATTATTAGCTATAGTCAGGATCCTAACTCAGCTGTAACTGGGGTCTGTCTGACCTCAAGGCCTATGTTTGTTCAAATGCCAAGAAGTCTTTCTTCACTTTCCATAGCAGATTTGCACTTTCCTTCTTTTTATCTTTCAGTTGTAGTTATTTTTTCGTATCTCTCCTGTTGAATTGTAAACTGCTTAAGGGCAGAGACTACATTTGATTAATCTCTGCATCCCAGTATAATGCCTAGTATGACACTCGGAAGAAAGCAAATAACCAATAATATTTACTGAATTTGGAATGGAACTGAGTCTAGGATCACCAGGTGAAATAGAAAAGGGACATCCATGTGTGAGCTGTGTCACGCACAAGACAGTTATTTTCTACAAACCTGGAATGTCTACTTTCCCCAGCGACACACTACTGGGCAATGCTCACCTGTCTCTGTTCTTGATGGACAGATTCTGCTCCACTCCTTCCATGAGGTTTCTGAAGCACTGGGCGAGGACCTCCTGCCTGGCGAGAGGCTGGCTGTTTATCAGACTCGCTCTCAGTTCACTGAAATACTGATGGGCGACAGAATAGTGTCAGAGCTCTGACTCCAAACCGGCCCGAAGACAGCTGGTAGGGGGATGGCTAGACCAGCTCTCATCTACTCAGGGCTCACTAATGCTCAGAGGAGTTTTTGTCTAGTTCCACGTTGAACTTTAAGCCCTTAGAGAAAATCTACGCCATAGAGACACTCCTACTTATACATTCTATGATCCCTTCCATAAACTGTCTTGCTGTAATTGTTCTATTGTCACTGCTTAGGCTGATGAAGTCCTTGTCTCCTCTGTGGGGGACTGAATGCATGCTTTTCCTGACTCTCATCTCTTCTAATCACAGAAAGACTGAAATGGGAGGGGTCTCCAGGCTGAAGGAAATAACTAAAAATGCCCAGGGAGCATTTTAAGTGACTGAAGGCAAGGCCAAGGGTCTTTCCTCAGGCCTTATCATCTTTCCTGGCTTCAGTGAGTCACTCCTTAAACAACTTCGGGCTTTGTTCCAAGTCTCTGTCCTTGGGGGCTAGAAAGGATTTACTCCTCTGAGGTGGGGTACTGGAGGGGCTTGCTTTAGTTTGGGGAGAGCTTTCTGGCACTAAGAAAAATATCTGTCATGCCTGGTCACAAATATCTGCACAGCCTTTTCTTTTCTGCTGAGGACTGTGGGCTTTTATACAAACACAAGCTCTGATGCTAAACACAGCTCCTAATCATTGGAAACAGCCTAATTTCAGCACAAAGACAACATTTTGCCAGTCATGCATTTATTCTTCCAAGCCCAAAAAGCATGATATTTAATTTCTATCATACATTAAAACAGCTTACATCAGAAAACACACATAATTAATATGTAGTCAGACTAATACTTAAATACTATATATCAGAGGCATTATACTTAAACCACAATGTCTTACTGAACAAGATTGGGAATGCACAAAACTACTTATTTTTCCCTTTTATAATGATGCAGTGACTCACACCAAATAGAAAATTATTAGTTTTTCATCCTAAACGGTGAAATATTGCCTCCATCAGTAAAGTATAATATTGTGATGTCATAAGCTTTTTCCAAACACTGAATTTGCCCTTATTCCCTCTCAATCATTTTAAAAGAACTGCTCTCTTTTATAGAGCTTGGATTTAAATCACAATAACACCGAGGGAAGATGAATGACAGTGCTACTGAATGTGGCTAAAATTGGATACTTCAGCACAGGTGAATGATGAGACAGCTCTTCTCTTTTTGATATATTTTCTTCTTCTATTAGTTTCCTTCCAAGGCTGGGATTTTAGTTTGAATTTTAATGCATGCAGCTGCCTCTAATCTCACTGTCTTTTTCCCCAGTACTATCTTAGTGTATAGACAATTCATTCTCCCAAGCTGTAATGCACTGTTCCTACTGACTACTAGGGAGATGCATGGGTTCAACAGGAAGCTGGAGAGGCTTGGGAGGTAGCCCAGGTGGTGAGTCCTCTAAAGAAGCTGGAGACGGGTGCTCCCCAGATGAAGGCTGCTGGTTCTGTGAGGAATCCCTGATGGGCTGCTGCTGCCACCATCTAGGGCAGTGGGGATCTCAGATATAAAGAGTGGTCAAGGAAGGCAAAAAGGGTTGTTGCTCAGAATTCTCCTGGAATGGGGGGAGTGGAGTGAGGACAAGCTTGAAACACTACTGAGCAAACCACCCAGCTGGTGAGCGGGAGCTCTGGGCTCCAGAAGCACTTGTTCTGAGGCCTCTGCTTACCTGAAGAAGATCTGAGACCTTTGGGGAAGGGCCTTGTAGGGGAATACAGCCTCACGGAGTTCTCAAGGTCCCAGTTCAAACTCAGTTGGCTCTGCTCCTCTGTCCTTCATCATCACAGCTCACCCTAGTTTACAGCTGCTCTCTTCTCCCAGGGACCACCTCCCATGACTTCCTGCAATCACACTCACCTTCTCATTGAGCAGGATGAGCCCCAGGAGAGGCCTGGATACTGACCACTGGTTCCGACAGTCTTCAAAGACAATGGTGTTCATGAGGACAGACATCATCTAGAAGATAGAGTCACATAAAGACTGAGATGCCCTGGCTCAGAGTCCCCCTAATCCCAGGCCTTTCATGTGCTCAAATTCCACCCCTCCATCTTGCTAACAGCTGTGAAAGCTCTTCCTGGACAAACAGCCTAGACTCTAGCTTATAATGTTGCCTGTAGAAACTATTGGCAAAGACCCCCAGCTAGCTCCCTGTGGAAGAGCTTCTACCTCTGAAAGCCTTGGTGAGAATATTCCAGATAGGCAGAAGTCAAGAGGTCACTGAGCTAAGATGATCAGTCCCTGTCTCTCAAACCTGATACGCTTTCCTCTATGCTAGGGCACCAGGCAAAAGCTCAGCTCACCTTCCTGTCTGCCTCCCATTTCACCTAAGAGGTCATGTTATACAGATGAAATCTCTCCATGGCCCCTCTTGGAGAGAGGGGGGGAAAGGGACCCATTCCATGTGACCCTGGAACATCATGTTTCCTGCTGGCTTAGGCTGTTCAAGGTTTCTCTTCACTCTTCGTTCACTAATTCACTCACTCACTCATTCATTCCTACATGTACATTCCTCATCCGTTCTCTTAAATTCAGCCTGTAAGACCCATAGGGGAGATAAGATAATACAGGCATTTATCACAACCTCTGACCTTAAGTAGCTTGAAACCTCCTGGGGGAGACTACTTAGGAGAGAAGTAACAGGAAGTAGGGCTGGGCAAAGTGCAGTGGGCATGTAGAGGAAGGAGGGAAGATTCTGGGTCCTTGAGGAGAAGTCAGGGAAGATTCCACGGAGAACATTTAAGGAGTTCATTATAAATGTGTTCTAAGCAGAGAAGGCATCAAAAAAGGAGGGTGGGGATGCACACAAAGGGTTCTGCAATGGTAAGAAACTTAGCATGACAGGAGAGAAGAGAGGTGGGCCAGAGGTGAGACGCTAGTGCCAGACTGGAAGACCCTGCTGAGGAATCTGGACTTCATCCTGATGGTAGCGGGGAGTTAGTGATATGTTTGCAGCAAAGGTGGAGACATGCTCTGATTTGCATTTAAGAAAGATCTCTTTGGGGACATGTAGAATGTGTACTGTGCAGGTGAAACTAAAGGAGGAAGACGAGGGATGAGGCTGCTGCAACAGTCCAGGCAAGTGGCTGTGAAACAGGTTTCTGTCATTCATGTGGAGCTGATGATACAGTTTCTGCTTCTTGGACTCTTTACCTCCTACCTCTAAGCTCTTCTGTTCCCACAGCTCCAGAACTCCTTTCCCCCAAAGAGGGCAGGGGAAATGGCCGTTATGTGGCAAAGATCACTGCACACACCATTCCTTATTGGGCTTCGGTGACCTGGCTTGTTTGGAACACAGCTGGTTTTGTCCTCTGGTATTTTTTGAAATCCAGTTTACCCTGTGATATCAGGCAAGTTACTGAATCTCTCTCTCTGTGTCTCAGTTTCATTAACTATAAGGAGGGAAATAATAATCCAGCACAAGGAAGCTCTGAGAATCAAATGAGATAGTGTATACAAAATGAATTGCAAAGAGTAAAAAGTGCTATAAACATTTAAGGTATATAGTAACAGTAATGAGCTTTTTTGCAGTTCTAAAAGTCTGCCATTCTATACATCATCATAACAATTAGGCTGGTTGCAAATGAAATCTGCCACTTGTGTGTTTATTCTATGTCCAGTCTCTCTGGGGAGAGGCTAGGACTTAAGCTTGGGATGTTGAACATCATTTGCAGATCACAAGTTTCCATGTACAATCTAACAAGCCACCCAAAGTCATAGAGCCACAAATTACACTGACAAGCAAAACTAACAGATCCATCTAGACAGTCTAAAATATTATGGGCTTCACAATCTGAAGGCAGAACGGATAGTTTAATGGAAAAGATTAAAGTTAGAGGCACCAAATTCCTCCAGTAACTGACAAAGCATCTTGAAGTGATGCACCAATTACTTTATACGGTTCTCCTGTGTATTCATTTGTCTGAATGCATGTATTTATGTCTGTAATAAGTAAGGAGATGTTTGAATAAAACACTTTTCTAAAAATAAAGTTGGTTAAAACGGGTGATTTTTTTTTCTTTTTTATTCTTCTGGAAATATGAAAATTAGTGAGCAAATCTGCTTAAATGGTACTGACATGGCGGCCCATATCCAGAATTATTTTTTGTAATATCTTACAGTAGGGTATGGGGGAAACAGCCAACCAATGGGGGCAAATTCCTTTGCAGAAGGAGCATGTGGAAGAATACTGGATGAAATGCTTAAGTACAGAATCACTTCCCAGGTCATATGAAATCTCTGGTGGGAGGCTTTCTGTGGTTAACGACACAAATACATGAATACTGAAAGGAGACAGCTCTTGACAATTCTGCACCACCCGGCCCACAGTGAGTCACAAGGCACCATCAGTATTTGGTACAAGGAATGGCTGTGTGAGCTGAGGCTCCAATCCTTCAACTTCTGCTCACTTCCAATACTGCCACAGGGATGGCTGGAATGGCTGTTTCAAATCTGCCCCACTTCTAGAGGTCTAGATCTAAATAAAATAAAATTAAACAAATGTGCCCAACATAGGCTACATTTTCTAGGGCCTATGTCTGAAAACACATACAGTATCTACTGCATCACCCTGAGCAGCTATTCTGCCAAACCAGGGAAGGGCCCATTTCTGAGGTAGAGTTGTAGGACTTGCTCCACTTAGGAGACGCACACTCCACACTGCCTCAGGTGCTTCCTCATTCTCCTCCATCCTTCCCACAGGATTTGGCAGGAGTTTTAGGAAATTTCTCTCAACGAAGAGAAACCAGTGTGGTACGGTAAAGCCAGGCTTTGGAGCCAATCAAAATAGAATCCCAATCTGGCCCTGCCACTTAACTTGAGACATCGGACGAGTCATTTCACTTACTTGAGACTTTATTTCTCTACATATAAAATGGAGGACAGTAACAGCTACTTCAAAGGGCTGCTGTGAGGAATAACTTCTCTGACATATATCAAGCATTTGACACCGTGCTTACCACATAGTAGGCATCAATCTACTGCTCCTTTACCACTACTGCAGCTACTCTCTCTGGCCTAGCCCAGTGGAATTTCATGGCTCAATGAAGGGCCCCAATTCATGTCCTGATGAGATACAGATCAATGAGATTATAGTCTCTTCACAACTATCTAACTTTGTTGAGGGTTGCTGTAAAACACAGACACAACGAAAATAGGAAAAACACGAAAATAGGAAACAGTTCAGAAAGCATCATTATTTGATCTGGCACATGTATCTGTAAGGATTTTGAATGACAATGTTTCTGTTGTTCTGAAAACCTGTAATTCTAAATAAAACACAAAATGACAAATATTTGACCTGGAAAAGTAAAACAAAGCAATGTTGTGTGATCTGTATCTCTGTTCATTCCCCGGCTCCTCTCTTACTCTTCTACCCTAACATGGGATGTAAAGCACAAGCATAAAGCAAATTGGACTTTCCTACCCAAATATGCTGCGTCATACTTTCTTTCATTTTTTTATTTGAGATGGAGTCTCGCTCTGTTGCCCAGGCTGGAGGGCAACGGCACGATCTCAGCTCACTGCACCTCCGCCTCCCGGGTTCAAGCGATTCTCCTGCATCAGTCTCCTGAGTAGCTGGGTTTACAGGCACGTGTCACCACGCCCAGCTAAGTTTTGTATTTTTTTTAGTAGAGACGGGGTTTCACCATGTTGGTCAGGCTGGTCTCGAACTGCTGACCTCATGATCTGCCTGCCTCAGCCTCCCAAAGTGCTGGGATTATAGGCGTGTGCCCACCGTGTCTGGCCCGAGTCATACTTTCTCTATGGCAAGGCGGTAACTAAATGCTCACTTTATATTTACGTATGTATGTATGTATGTATGTATCTATCTATATCTATCGAGACAGGATTTCACTCCTATCACCCAGGCTAGAGTGCAGTGGCGCGCTCTCAGCTCACTGCAACCTCTGCTCCTGGGCTCAAGTGATCCTACTGTCTCAGCCTCCCAAGTAAATGGGACTACAGGCATGCACCACCACATCTGGCTAATTTTTCTATTTTTAGTAGAGATGGGGTTTCACCATGTTGGCCTGGCTGGTCTCAAACTCCTAACCTCAAGTGATCTGCCTGCCTTGGCCTCCCGAGGTGCTGGGATTACAGGCATGAGCCACGGCACCCAGCCTGTTCATTTTTATTTTTAGAGATAGGGTCTCACTCTGATGCTCATGCTGGAGTGCAGTAGTGTGATCATGGCTCACTGCAGCTTCAAACTCCTGGTCTCAAGCAATCCTTCCACCTCAGCCTCCCAAAGTGCTAGGAGTGAGCCACCATGCCTGGCTGAAATGCCCAATTTAAACCACTTCTGTTCTGTCTCCTGCTGAAATAGAATAGACAAAGATGTGGCTTGTGTTGGATGCTTTACTGCTAAACAGTGAACTGTATTTTTTTCTAAGAAAGTTGAAGGCTTAGTGTGTCTAGAATCTGATGGCTGGACATTATCAAAGAGCAGGATGGTTGGAGAAATAGGAGCAGAGGCTGAGAAAATGGAAAAAGCCAACTTGAATGAGTACAGGGTGATGACTGCAATGGCAGCGGGGTGGGGAGACCAGACTGCAAACTCCTGTGGTACTGTATCCCCAGGGCCTAGGGTTAGGCACTGGCACACATCAGAGATTTAGGAAAGAGCAACTGAAAGAGTAAATACATAAATGAATAAATGCAAAAGGATGAATGACATATCAGAAGGTAAAGTATAAAGAGCTAAAGAGATGAAAGGGCACTATACAGAAAACAGGGAAGTTCTTGTCTTAATCTATGACTAAAATTTAAAATGATTACCTACTGGAAGTAATACATTGTTCATTTGCAAGGATCTTGTTTTTGTGTGTACAGCCTGAGAACTCTTCTATGCCACTGCTGTCCTATAGCCAGCTCGAGAGTGCCTTTGTAGGGACTTGCAGGTTGCAAAGGTCAAAGGCCTGGGCACCATCATTGCTAATGACAAGAACTTTCACCTA